GTAAAAAATCTCCAGCTTTTTTATTTCTTATTTTGAGAGATACTCCTTGGTGATTAAGTGGTTTAGGCTGAGCTTCAACTTGTCGGCCTGCAGAATCTGCTTCCCAGAGTGCTGGGCTGACAAGAGTGCACCATCATACTGAGCCTATCAACCATATTTCTCATGTGTGCATCGATCCAGTGATGGACATCAAACTGATTCCAGGGCTTAGCTGGTATAAAATGGCCTGTTTTGAGTATGGGTATGCATATATCAGTACAATATGATGATTTTTAACTCTTTTGAGAGTATACCCAGGAGATTCATGATCCCATTGGAAAAAAAGGAAGTTCTATTTCAGCTTCTGAGACATCTGTGCACTGATTATTACAGGGGCTGTATTTAACATTCCACCAGCAATTCTGGAGGGTGCCTTCTAATTTTAAAAAAATCATGAATGGACTCATTTCTCTGCAGAACATCAGCAAAATACCTACTGCAACACTAGCATTCGTTTGTACTTTGAATATTGCTTCAAGGTTAGCAATTTTTGGGTACTGAATGTCTTAAATTTGCATGTATACATGAATAGATATCTCAAAGATGGGTTCCTGTCAAAATTCAATTTTTTTTTTACAAATAAATCCTATATAATACCTAAATGCAATTTCATACATTTTTAGGGTTAAATTGTCACATTATACATACTTAAGGTGTATATATATTTGGAGAATATTTGTGACATTATATTGAACTTGGCCTCATTTTCTTTTTTTTTGGAACCGGGGATCAAACTCAGGTCCATGAGCTTGCACAGCAGGTGATGAAACCACTGAGCTAAATCCTCAGCCCAATAATTTTATTTATTACTTATTTATTTATTTATTTATTAATTTTGGTGCCGGAGATCGAACTCGGGACCTTGTGCTTATGAGGCAGGCACCACAACCACTGCTGGCCTCCTTTTCTTGACTGACATGTTTCTGCTCATACACTGAGTATGGAGGGACATTGTTCTTCCTTGTGAATGCAAATTACCTTAGATTTCTCCAGTAATTTCTGCAATCTTCTTCAACTTCCTGGTCATCACATGCTCTTCCTGAGTTGTAGACATAGAAATACAACTA